AGAGTGGGAGGAAGGAAAGAGGGAGCTGGAGGGGTCAAGGACACCACAGAAGATCTACAGAGTCAACTAGTCTGGGCCTATGGGGGCTCACAGAGACTGAACCATCAACCAAAGAGCTTGCATAGGCTGGACCTAGTCCCCCTACACATATGTAGCAAATATGTAACTTGGTCAACATGTGGGTTCCCTAGTAGTGGCAGTAGGGGGCTGTCTCTGACTCTGTTGCCTTCCTTTAGATCCCTTTCCTCTCGCTGAGCTGCCTTGTCAGGCCTCAGTGGGAGAGGATAAGTTTAGTCCTGCTGAGACTTGGCATGCTAGGGTGGTCCTCTACTTCTCTGAGAAGGGGAGAGAGGAATGAGGGAAGGGGGCATTCAAGTGGGGCTTGGAGGAGAGTAGGGAGTAGGCTGGTATCTGGCTGTAAAATGATTAAATACATACATACATACATATATACATACATGAATAAATAAGTAAATAAATAAATACATAAATAAATGAAAACAAAGCTGAGAAAATAATTCTAAGCATAATGTGAGCAGTGTCCAAAGTCCAAAAGTGAAGAAAGCTGGCAAGACTTCCCTGAAGAGCAAAGGAAAAAACATTTAAAAAATAAAATCAAGATTCAGTATTGACATGCAGACACCATGCAACTTTTGTGACCACTTTTCCTATATCAAAATACACTCCTTAAAATATTGTTTTTCCTTGATTGAATCATGAGTACATCATCATTAAACATGTCAGAAACTCATATGTACAAAGAAATGATAACATACAAAATATAAGCTGCAATTATTTTTACAAACTTGATAAAATATCAGAAAAATAAATTAAGAAAACAACTCTACTCATAATGGCATCAAGAAAGCAAAACACTTGGGAATAAGTTGAATCAAAGCAGTGAAGTATCTTTACATTGGGAACAATGCAATGAGAGGAGACACAGTGAGAGAAGTGTGGCACCTTCAACAAGCGCTGGGGAACTGGACATTTGCAGATAAAAGAATAAAGTTGTGCCTGTGCTGGGCTTATGACACATCCGGTGGAAGTGAATTACACTCAAGAGTAAAGTCTCAAACTCCAAAATTCCCAGTTGTTGACATGGCAGCTCTTGTATATGATTGGCTAGGAAGATTTGAACATCACCATAAAAGCAAACAACCAAAACACAAAATAAAAAATGAGACTTCATCAAATTAGAGAGCTGACACATGGGAAAAACAAGAACAAGCAGGCTGAAAAGGCACTCAAAAAATGGGGAAAACACTGTAATTTTGTATCTATGATAGGGGTTATTACACAAAACCCCATGAAAAATCCGAAATCCACAAAAAAGTTCAATTTGGAGTAGGGAAGGACCAGAATACACAGTTTAAAAAGTTCAAATATCTACATTGATATGGCCTGCTCTTTAATTACCCCCCCCCCGAGGGGGAAGCAGCATTACCAGGCCTCAGAAGAAGACAATGCAGCCACTCCTGATGAGACCTAATTGACTAGGATCAGAAGGAAGGAAAAGAAGTCCTCTCCTATCAGTGGACTTGGAGAGGGGCATGTATGCAGAGGCTGGAGGAAGGAAGGGATTGGGATGGGAGGAGGGAGGGAACCACAGGGGGGATACAAAGTAAGTAAAGTGTAATTAAAAATAAAAATAATAATAAAAATAAATAAATACTTGCAAAAAAAAGTTCAAATAACCAACAATAAAAAGGAATTCTCAAAAATAGTTTAACAGGGGTTTAAACAGGAAAGAGAAACTTCTCTTTAAAACCTAGAGAGGAGCCCAGCATGACGATACACAACTTTAATCCCAGCACCCAGGAGGCAGAGGAAGATGGATCTCAGAGTTTAATGCCATGGTCTACATAGCAATTCTAGGCCAGCCAGAGCTAAGCAGTGATGAGAACCTCTCTCAAAAATAAAATGCTTGAAGTACGGCTCAGTGGTTAAGACGCTTGCTACTCTTGCAGAGAACCAGGGTTCAGTTGCTAGTATCCAAATCAGTGGCTCACAACCATCTCAAATTCCAGTTCCAGGGACTCCACCACCCTCTTCCGACCTCTGCAGGCATCAGGAACACACATTAATGCATATATATGCAGACAAAACACTCGTGAAATAAATTTTAAAAAATCCCTGAAGAAAGGCTTTTTTAAGAGGGTTAAAGAAAAGAAAAAATAAGAAAATTCTCGATATCATTAATGTTCAGAGAAATCAAATCAAAATCACACTAAGAAATCAACAGACACATGATGTAATAGCTGTTAATAAGACAGGGATAATTGGTGAAGATGTGGGAAGGGAGAATATTTGAACACTTGTGGGTAAGAATGTAGATTGCTACAGATATTATAAAAAACAATATGCCAAACGTTAGACAGAACTCAGGAGTCCTGTGGAAGAGTTGGGGTGTTGGAGGTTGGTCTAATTTAAATTACTGGTGCTCAAGATCTAGTTACTACCTGCCAGATACACCCTTCTGTTTGTGTAAACTTGTCTAAAACTTTACACCTGATTTGTTCATTAAATGGCCTGTACCTGGGCAGTGCAGAATGGGGTAGGCATAGCTAGGATTCCTGGGCTTTCAGGAGACTCATGAGAGAAAGACAGCCAGGAAGAGAGGAAGAGGAAGGAGGCCACCATGCGTTAGCGTGGAGAAAAGACTCCAATGATGGGTGAAAAGGCCCAGATAAAGAATAAAAGCAAGTACTATGGGATTATGGGTGAAAGGTAGTCCAATTTAGGAGGATTCAGGTGGATGCCATTGGATGTGGGCTGGGAGGTGGGTGGTGAGGTTATTGAGAAAGTGTAAGTGAGACATCTGCCCAGCCCAAAGTAAATAAGGCAATTATAAATCTAACAGGTGTCTGCGTCTTATTATTTGTGATAGCGGGTAAAATAATACCTCCATGATAAAGCTAGGGCTAATAATAAATAATATATAGCTCAACACAACAGGGGGGAATGATAGAGGAAGCCAGAGGGGCCAACGACTCCATAAGAAGACCTACAGAGTCAACTGGTCTGGACCCACAGGGACTCAGAGAGGCTGAACCACCACCCAAACAGCATGCATAGACTATTCCTTAGACAGCCTGCACATATGGAGATGTGCAGCTTGGTCTTCATGTGGAGTCCCTAACAACTGGAGCAGAGCCCTCGCTGACTCTGATGTCTCCCTTTGGATTCCGTTCCCCTAACTAGGCTACCTTGTCTGGCCTCGGTGGGAGAGGATGAGCCTATGCAGTGACTTAATGTGTCAGGATGGGTTTGTATCAATGAGGAACCTCACCCTTCTCTAAGGAGAAGGAGAGGGAGATGTAGGGGAGGGGCATGTGAGGTGAAAGACTGGGAGGAGAGGAAGGGGTTGCAATCAGAAGGTAAAGTGAATAAATAAATAAACTTTAAAAAGCAATATGGAAGTGCTGCAAAAAATATCAAACAGAGCTATTATGATTCTGAACAAGGTTATTAAATCACCATGGCAAAGAAATACCTATATTGTGCTCACTGCGGAAACGTTCTCAGTAGCCAAGGCATGGAATCATCTTGAGTGTCTGTCAGCAGAGGCGTGAGTAAAGAAATGAAGTCTACATAAGCAAAGAAATCAAACTTATTGTTTTAAATGAAATAGTGTCATTTTGAAAACATACATGACACTGAAGGACATCGAACTAAATGAAGGAAAAAAGTCACTGAAAGAAAGAATAACCTCATTTATTCGATCTAAAAACGTTGCCAATGGTGCCACCGGCAATGTGCTAAGAGGTTTATAAGGCTCATATGCTTTCCAGGGGAGAGGGAACAACGAAATACAGCACACAATTTTAAAACAAGGTTAGTAAGAGGAAGAAAAGATAGTAACCCTGCACGGCTCGCTTAAACCTTGAAGCAAGCAGTTCCCCCCACCCTCCCCTCCACACATACACAAATGCAAACCGAAGCGAGCTGTGAGCAAAGCAGATCTGCGGGCTAGCAGTTTTGGCATGACACACCACATCATACACCTCAAATACTTTTGTTAGTTAGACTTCAGTAAGTCTAGGAAAGAAAAAAAAAAAAGCTTAAAATGCTAATTCGTTTATTAAGAATGCTCACACCTGTGACAATTTTACTTCTTACTAGTTTTTAGAGAAGAGAAAAATGTCATTTTATGTATGTTATTAAATATTAACAGATAATTCTGTTTACTGTTCAGAACAAGATTTTCCTTGTCTGGCATTGCCAGGGATTGTGCTCATGAACCTTGTATACACTGGGCAAGCTCTGTTCTACAGATCTATACACCCAGGAAGAAATGATCTTCCAACTGTAAAATACTTTAGCTTACTATATTTGTGCCTTTGAAGCTGACTGTGTTCATCAGTATCAAATCAAACTACCCAGGAATAAGATTTTTAGCAGCATTATTTTAATTTTGTAGATTAAATCTATTCTGTATGATTTCCAGAAATACATCTCTGAGGCGAGTCCTTGTGCATGGCATCCTGTGGTGGGGCTCTGTCCTGTCACCTCCTTCCCTCGCTCCCTTTTCATCCTGTGCTTGAATCCTCTGAAGCCAGGAGTCAAGATAATTCCTTTTAAATTGCTTTTCTCAGGTATGTCATATCCGTTGAAACAGTAATTAATATACTTAGCTAGATGTAACTACTGGAATATCAAAATATGTATTTTAAAGTAAGAGTGGAAATCATCTTTACGCTCTCCAATTAAAGCACAACTTTAATTTCTTTTACCTGCCTTTCCTCGATATGGGTCGAGCTCCGATACACACACGTTTGAGGGAAAGAGCTTAAAGGAGTAGAGGACGGTAAGGGATGTGGGGGATGGGCTCAACATAAATTTTTTATGTGTGCATGAAAACATCCGTATTTAATAAAATGCAACGTGCAGTAAATATACTCACTTGAACAATAAACCAAGAGCAGGAGAAGGAGCCACGAGGAAAAGCAAGGAGAGAAAAAGGGGAAGCAGGGCAGGACTTAGGGTGCAGGACTCACCCTTTTGGTAGAGATTCCAGAACTCGTCGACCTGGGCCTGCGTGGGGAAGTGGCCGCAGTCGTTGAAGTACTTGAGCAGCTCACCTCTGTCCAGGCCCTGCCAGTCTTCTCTCTTGGCAAACATGGTTTCGTAGACTAAAAGCCAAAACGGTAAAACAATATCGTTTCTTTTACAAATACTATACCAAGGCCCAGTCACCTAAAACGTTCTCCTGTTCGGGAGTTAACTGTAACTAGGCTTCTCTCCGCGCCTAAGGACAGCAGCCTTCAAGAAGCTGGTGTCGGTCTCCTCCCTTCCTCAGTGGTTTCACAGCATGAATTTCCACACAAGGAAACTCGGTCTGGCTCCCCATGGGGAAGACAGCACAGATGTAGTGGAACTATCTCTTTCATGACAAGTGAGCACAGACAGAAACTACACCATTCGCTGTAACCTGGGCCATTTTCTTTTTATTTTCATTGCCCACATTAATGGGTCTCAGTGTGACAATCTAATTCATGTACAGAGCACTGACCAATCGAGTCCCATTTAATTTTTATGTCAATTTTTAAAACATATAAGTGTATGGGGGATATGTGCCATTTGTGTGTCTGTGTGTGGCTTGCTTCACTTAACATAATATTCCTCTGTCTAGTCATCTTGCAGAAAATGGAAGTCTTTAACTTTCCTTTGTGGCTGACACTGCAGTATGTATATATAAAATGTGTTCTTTGCCCATGCATCTGTCGCTAGGCACTTAGGCCGATTTCATGTCTTAACTAGTATGAATAGTGTGACAGTGTTATGCCAATATGTTATGCCAATATGTGGGTATCTCTTTTAGGACTGGTGTGACAATGAACACAAGTATGCAGATATGTGTGCATATCTTTGAGGTACTGCTTTCACCTCCTTGGATAAACACTCAGTATTAGCTGGATTACATGAGATTTGTTTTTCTTTCTTTCTTTGAAAAAGAAAAATACTAGAGCCTGAACCTAGGGCATCATGCGTACAAGGCAAGTGCTCCACCGCTGCTGTTATCACTATCACGGCTCTTTTTATTTTTGTTTTGAGATGGGGGATCACTAAGTTGCTTAGGCTGATCGTGGGTTGGTAAACCTCTTGCAATAACCGTTAGAGTTCTGTAACACCAGATTGGCCTCTAAATCTTTCACTTCTTTTCAGCTTCTAATTCACACTCTACCCACTTGGATATCTATTATGCTTTGGGTTTCTGATTTGGAAATAAAATTAGAAACAATGTCTACATTTCGCTCACTGACTTTACAGAAACAGAGTGGGAGGGGGGGAATAAAACACTGGAGGAAATCCTACCCGAATGGCCATGCCAGACAGTCAAAACCATGAGAGACACGTACAAATTAGTTTTTATTATAGGTATGTGCTTTATTCTCTTTTCAAATCTATAGACTACGGCTGTTCCATTCGGGGCCCATGCCCATCTCCTTGTAGAGAGGAACTGAGGCCCTTCCTTTGTTTCTGAGCATTTGACTCAGAGTACCGTTATCTACACTTCACTGCCTCAAAGCTTCCTTCTAGCAGAAGACTTGACATCTAGGCAGGAAGCCAGCAGTCTCACAAACTTAAGACCCCTGTAGACTGGCCTTCAGCCCCTGCCTAGAGTGTCAGGGAGGGGCAACTGTGTATGAAAATCTAGTTTTTGAGAAAGTTGGCTCCATTATTTCTATGAATTCTCGTGATAGTAGTTTCTTTCTTTCTTTTTTTTTTTTAAACCTCCATCCAGCCCCTTCTGCATTTCTCTATGTCATTAACAGTATTTTCTGGGATTTACTTTCAAAGAGGTTAGTTGTACTTAAATTCTTTTCTTAGGATTTGATTCTAGAGAAGTCTAAAACTAAGACAAAAATAATTGCTTTTGTTCCTTATAAAATTCATGTACTCTTATTAATTTTCCTCCAATCATTTTTATATGCCTTTCATATTAATATCATAGCTCTGCGGTTACGCAGCATGGAGTGGACAACACAAACCTTCAGCAGTTCACCAATGCAATTAGTGAACTAAGCCACTTAGCAGTTTCAGTACACACGTAACTGAAAATATGAAAAGTAACGCAATTTGAAATTATTTAATTATATTTTAAAGATGCACCGATATTGGTCAAACATTAAACCATTAGCAATCATTGTCTAGAAAAAGAAGAGAATTCTTTAAGAAACCTTGCAAAAATACCATGCAAATTATGTGGACTTTAGGCATATTGTAGATGAATGCTAGTCATAATTCTTAAAATTATCCTTTTAGCTAGTTCTTTTCTGCTGGACAGAACACCATCATCTAAGCAAATGCCTTTGTTCTGTCTTCGCCCCATGCCCACCTAACCACCATAACATGAATTCATAAACTACACCATGGTTCTCTGTGTGTAATCTTCCAATGCCTTTCCAACACGACTAGGAATCAAACCAAGGAACACATGCAAGTTATCCACACACTTTTAAGACCTTTACCCCGAAACCTCATCAGCTAGAAACCACCAGAATCCGGTGTGGAAAAACAGATACACATGAGATGTGCGTGTGTGTTTCTGTGTGTGTTTCCAAAATAAAATTTAAAAAAATTCAAAATACAAAAAAATTCAAATCTGTAATTACAAATCAAAAGGAAAATTAAAGGGGTTAGGATAAAACTAAAATAAATAATGTACATATAAAAAAATGACATAGTGATAGAATTTGTGATATGAAGATAAGACGAGATAAAACAATGGGAACATTTTGAAAATACATGTGATTGGGAATTCTGTAAAACATACTCTTTCATGGTGTCTCCTAGGAATGGCTAAAGAAGTACAGTCAGTGTTTTGGAGAAAGAAGAGTTATGTGGTCTGAATTGTGGTGGAACGAACAAACAAGAATTCCCCATGAAACAAGGTGTCTTAACCTACTTCAAAGCATACCTGCTGCTGAGTAAGGGTCATTATTGGTAAAGACAAAGGAGTGCAGGAAAAAGGAAGCATCGCCCTGTCTGTAGATGCATGTGGATGCCAACCTAAATGGTCTCAACTTGGTTATTATGAAAAATAAGGAGGGGTGGATATCCTTGGAGTGACCGATACTACAGCGCCTCAGTTGTTAGGACCCCAAAGAGCCATCAGAACCCAAAGACTTTTCAGCCTCTTTAAAGATAATGGCAACGTGTTGTCAGAAAGCCCTTAATCAAGGCAGGTAAGAAGCCCAGGGTAACAAAGAAGGTAAGCGACCAAGACTTGGTGCCTTCTTTCTCCACATGCCCTGCAACACAAATGTTGATTATTCTACTAAGAAAGCAGCATACGAAGAAAAACAAGAGGAGGCTGCAGAACGTGCTAAATTTTGGTCAAGCGAATGAAGGAAGCCAAAGAAAAATGCCAGAAACAGGTTGCCAAGAGACCTAGGCTGTCCTCATTAAGAGTTTCTACTTCTGAGTCCAGTCAAAAATAACTCATTAAGAGTAACAAATAATCATATTTTAAAAAATACAATAAAATAAATTTTAAAAAAATAGAGGGGGAGCTAGATGGTGCAGTAACCAAAAGTCCTGGTACACAGTGGATGGATACTAGAAAAATCTGTTCTTCAAAGCATGATGAGATGTACAACTACTATCCAAAAAAAAACCTATAAGAATATCTTCCTGATTTTGTACTAGTGAGTGGAACATGTGGGTGGGATCCCAATTCCTTTTCTTCTCTCAAGCTTGTAAAGTGAGGTCCCCACTATCTCTGCCTCTGTCTTCTGCTTGTTTTCTCTCTTTCTCATTTGTAGCTTTCCATCTGGATGACTTTTTGCTGTACTGTCTTTTTGGGGAAAACCTTGAGAGTTCTACAAGAGCGTTATCCAGCTTTCTGAACATCAGGCTCTGGGTCTATATATCACCTGAACTGAGTCCTCTAGGTCTATGTACAACGGAGCTCTGAACAGTCTCTCTATGTCTCTCTCCTTCTCTATTTGGCTTTTTCCTTTAGTCTCTAACAACAGAAATGTAACAAGTATGGCTCATTTTTAAAATATATTTTGCTAGGACTTTGAATACTATGTTGAAGAGATAGAGAGAGAGTGGGCAGGCTTACCTTGTTCCTGATTTCAGTGGAATTGAATTAAGTTTTTCTCCATTTAGTTTGATGTTGGCTGTAGGCTTGCTGTATATTGCCTTTACTATGTTTAGGTATGTGCCTTGTATCCCTGATCTCTGCAGGACTTTAAACACAAATGGGCATTGGATTTTGTCAAATGTTTTTCAGCATCTGAGGAAATGATCATGTTTTTCTTTCTTTCAGTTTGTTTATATGGTGGATTATAAACAAACTGGGTTTGTTTATATATTGAACAACCCTTGATGGGTTGTTCATATATTGAACAACCCTTGCATGCCTGGGATGAAGCCTACTTGGTCATGGTAGATATCTTTGATGGGTTCTTGGATTTGGTTTGTGAGTATTTTATTGAGTCATTTTGTTTTATTTTGTTTTGTTTTTGGGGTTTGGGTTTTTTTTTTTTTGCATCAATGTTCAGAAGAGAGGTTGGTCTAAAATTCTCTTTCTTTGGTGGGTCTTTGTATAGCTTAGTTCTCAAGGTGATTGTGGCCTCATAGAATGAGTTTGGTAATGCTCCTTATTTTTTCTGTTTTGTGAAATTTGCTCTTCTTTGAAAGTCTGGTAGAATTCTGTGCTGAAACCATCTGGCCCTTGACATTTTTGGATGGGAGACTTTTAATGACAGACTCTACTTCCTTAAGGGATATAGGACTATTTAATTTATAAACCTGATCTTGATTCAACTTAGGTAAATAAAATCTATCAAGAAAATTGTCAATTTCATTTAGATTTTCAAATTTTGTGGCATCCAGGCTTTTGAAGTAGGACCTAAAGATTGTTTGGATTTCCTCAGTGTCTATTGTTATGTCCCCCTTTTTATTTATGATTTTGTTGACTTGGATAGTGTCTCTCTGTCTGTTAGTCTGGTTAAGTATTTGGTTAAGGGTTTGTCTGTCTTGTTGATTTCCTGTAAAGCAAAAGACATGGTCAACAAAACAAAACGACAGCCTACAGACTGGGAAAAGATCTTCACCAACTCTACATCTGACAGAGGGCTAATATCCAGAGTACACAGAGAACTCAAGAAAGTAAACACCAACAAACCAAACGATCCCATTAAAAAATGGGGTACATAGCTAAACAGAGAATTCTCAACAAGGGAATATCAAATGGCAGAGAAACACTTAAAGAAATGCTCAATGTCCTTAGTAATCAGGGAAATGAAAACTAAAATGACTCTAAGATTCCATATCACACCTATCAGATTGGCTAAGATCAAAAACTCAAGTAACAACACATGCTGAAAAGGATGTGGAAAAAGTAGAACCCTCCTCCATTACTGGACGGAATGTAAACTTGTACAACCACATTGGAAATTGATCTGGTACTTTCTCAGAAAACTTGAAAGAGTGCTACCTCAAGACCCAGCTATACTACTCCTGGGCATATATCTGAAAGATCTTCAACATACAACAAGGACATTTGCTCAACTATGTCCATAGCAGCTTTATTTGTAATAGCCAGAATCTGGAAACAACCTAGATGTCCTCAAGCAAAGAATGGATACAGAAAGTGTGGTACATTTACACAATGGAATACTACTCAACTATTAAAAACAAGGAAATCATGAAATTTGCAGGCAAATGGGTGGAACTAGAAAATAACATTCTGAGTGAGGTAACCCAGAACCAGAAAGACGCTCATGGTATATACTCACTTATGAGTGGATATTAGACATATAATATAGGATAAACACACTAAAATCTATTGCCCTAAAGAAGCTAAACACCAAGGAGGACCCTAGGGAAGATGCTTAATCCTCATTCAGAATGGCAAACAGGATAGTCACTGGAACCATTAGAAGAGAGGGAACAGGATGGGAGACTACCACAGATGTCCTCTAAAAGACTCTACCCAGCAGGGAATCGAAACACATATAGAGATTCACAGCCAAACTTTGGGCCAAGGGTAGGTAATCTTATGGAAGAAGGGGGATACAGAAGGACTGGGAAGGGACAGGAGCCACACAAGGAGACCAACAAAGCCAAAAAAAAATCATGGCCCAGGGGAGACTGCAGAGACTGATGCATCAACCAAAGACCATGCATAGAGAGGAATTAGACCCCTGCTCAAATGTAGCCCATAGCCAGGTCAGTTTCCATGTGGGTTCCCTAGTAAAGGGGGTAGAGACAGTCTCTGACATGAACTTGGTTGCCTGCTCCTTCTTGCTCATGGAGCAACCTAGCCAGCCCACAGAGGAAGAGGATCAGGCAGCCTGATGGATCCTGATAGGCTAGAGACAAACAGTAGGGGAGAAGGACTTCCCCAATCAGTGGACTAGGGGTTGGGGATAGTGGAGGAAAAAGGAAGGAGAGTGAAACTGAGAGGAGATGAGGGAGGGAACTACAATTAGGATACAAATGAATTATAATAATAATAATAATAACAACAACAATGAAATATATGTGTGTATAAACTTAGTGAAAATTGTCCAAATGATTTTTTGCCGTTTCAATACTCTAGGAAGGTGTTAAATAGGGAATGTTCATTAAAAGAGATGGCCCAATCTTCATGGAGCTATTATGAATGTGAAGCCGCAAATAAAGAAACAAACATTTCATAACTAGCTGAAACTAGTAACACACTGATTCTCATAATACCATAAAATGATTCCAAGTAAATATAATTCACTTGCATCATTCATTTTTATTCTTTAAGAGAATGGTCTAGTAATAAATACTATTTAAATAACACTCACCTGATCAACTATACATAGAAAGCCAGTGTCCTTATTAAATTTGTGTCCTTATTTTTGTGAGGAGAATTACCAATAACTTGAAGTAATGTGTAGCTTATTGTGCTCCGTGTGCATTTACGTTTAATACTCATTTCAGGAGTTACCAACAACTCCGCCAATGGGCAGAGCCCCCACCTTGCCACTCACACATCGTAACTCTCAAGGAATCCAATCAGTTCAGAATCACTTCAAAATTTCTGACTTATGGCTCAGGCTAAATCACTCATTTGAAGTCTCCTGGAAATCTGATTTTTTAAAAAAAGTGTATGCAGCTAGATATGTCACTTAATTGGTAGAATATTTGTCTGGCATGTATGAAATTCTGTGTTCTCCAAAACTGCATTAAACCAGGCATGGCGGGATGAACATGTGATCCCAGCACTCGGGAGGTGGAGCGAGGAGACACTGGAGTTCACTGTCATTCTTTGCTACTTAGAGCGTTCAAAGTCAGCCTTGGCAAATCAGATAGATTGATGATAGACAGATGCACAGACAGACAGGTAGATGACTAGTAGATGGAGAGATGGACGGACAGACAGACAGGTAGATAGAAATCAGTCTCTAAGTAAAAAGGCATGCCTGTTTCTTTTCTTCAGAGAATAGATTCTTTTTCCTTATTTTCTGATCTTTAAGTCTCTGGAGCAGCTCATATTTATATCCTCAGTGGAATATAATTCTTCACCTTCATCTGTGTTTCCAACACTTTCTCTTTAAATTTCTTTTTACACTTCATGTTAAAAAAAAAAAGCTAAATGGGATTCTACTGTTTATAAACAGAAAGCCTACTGAATAAATCCAAGTACAAAAACCTTAAAATGCAAATATAAATATAAAATATATTCTCCTTTCCATTGTTAGTAGTAGATATAAAGCGCTTTTCATTGGCTAAAAAAAAGAATTGTTTTAAACCTCGTACCAAATAAAAACTTATTGAAACACTTACATTTTTTCCTGTCCATCCATTCTTCTACCTCGTCAAACTTTATGATCTGTTTTGTCCTCCAAAGACCCAGCCGGTGTCTAACACGGTGGATTAAGCACTGATACATGGTTATAACCGCTTTCAAACTCGGCCCATGATATGAAGCCTATGAAAAGAAAAACATACTGTATTCTTCTTCGTCTATTTCTGTTATTTGTACCCATTTGGGCATCTGGAGTAGGCAGCTTAGGAAAAGCCATTCTGAAAAGTCTTCTGCACAGAAACATGCACCCAACACTGTCTTCTGTACACTAACAGCCATTCTTACTGCCCTACCTTCTGTGCTCATTAGTTGTGTGTTTTGTTTTTTGTTTGTTTGTTTGTTTGTTTGTATTTGGACATAAGCTAGATTCATGTAGGAGGAGGAATCCCCAATTGAAAAGCTGCAACCATTACATTGCCTGTATGAAAGTCTTTGGGGACGTTTTCTTGATTAACTCTTATGTAGGAGAGCCCAGTCTACAAGGGCTTCTACCACCCCTGGGCAAGAGGTCCTGAGTGGTATGAGAAAACAAATGAACAATCCCTCCCCTGCCATTCCTAGGTAACAGTGGGATCACGCTGTGGAAACAAAATCCCTTCCCCACAAGTTGCATTGTGTGCTGGTGTTTTATCACAGCAAAGGAAAGCAGACAAAGACACCTTTCGTGATGTGAAAGACTGCACTCTTCTGAACTGCGAACCAAGGTACAGCCTTCTGCTTTTCATTGCTTTTGTCAAGTATTTCATAAATCTGGGGGGGAAAAAGTAACTAATGCAGAATATGTGAGAAAACACAGATTAAATTCTCTAACAGTATAATAAAAGTCATCGTAAATTACTGATTAAAAATTTTTCAAGTCTTATTAACTTAATGAGAAAATCAACACTATCATCCAGAATGCATTTCAGCTTGTCTTTTGGTTGATTCTATCATGCATCTTCTCTTTCCAAAGTGACACTTGGCAGGACATGTTTCCTCTAATTATTAGGAGGAGCAGAACTCCCTGTTTGCTACCTACTTAACCCTTTCCACCTGTGAACTCTGGGCTTTCCTGTTTGCTTTTTTACCATCCTCTGTGCACCTCATTGTCAGAGAACCTTGGAGGCTGGGATGTTTTCTTAACCCTGGTACTATCTCAATGAATGCTTCTGTGTTGGTTTTATTCAACTCTTAGAAAATGATGTGATAGGCCCTAAGAGAAAATGTCTTTACCCTGTTTGTTGAACTAACCCTGTCTAAACACTGGCATATGGCAATATATGAGTCTTTATTCCAAAGCTTCATAAAGAAGGGAAACATGCTTAAATGAATAAATCTATGAAATGAAATTTAGAATATCAAAATGGAATAAAATGAATAGTCTAAAGAGTTGCCTTAATTTCGTAGCATAAGCACACTCTTAAATATGTGACAGTAAATACCAGTTGTGATTCTCATATCCAGTTCTTCAGCCAGTAAAAAGTGACTGACACTCTTAGCCATGCCAAGATGAATTAGACACTGTCTCTTTCCTCCATTTGGTACTTACCTCCTAATTGTGTATTAGGTTATTGTCCTAGTATACAATTCCTCAAGAATTGGAATCTTAGATGTTCATAAGTCATCTGCAATGTCCAGAACATTCATGTGATTTATGTGGAGCTTAATTCATGTTTTTTAATAACCAAGTAGAAATTTAATAGAAATGCATAATAGCACATAGGGTTCAGGGGAATTTTTTCTTAAACATTTTGAAGTAGTCTCTTAGCTAATCATGCTTTCTCTATATCTTGCTCACCCCCTAAAATTTTAGAATTATTATTTTTGATGGTAACTAGAGTCATGGAAATAGATGTCCTTCTTCCAGGAAACTGTGTACATTAAGGAAAGAATCATGTACCAGAAATATTGACATGCATCCCAGTCAAAGGGAAATAGATCTATTCCTTAAACACAAAAGCAGTAGCCAGAGACACAAGAAAATGAGAACATGCATGATCATAGAAACTCAAAGAACAAAGTTAGTCTATGTCAAGAGACTGTAATGTTTCTAGGAATGGCTGTGCAGAGGTGTTGGCTTTAGTACTGACAAATTTGTGGCGTATTCTGAAGAACAATAAAGTTCTATTTTAAGGTGAAAGTTTATTTTACATATATTTTAATAGCTGGGCCCAGTGGTGCATGCCTGTGATTCCAGCACTCAGGGAGGCAGAGGCAGGCAGTTTGCTGTGAGTCTGAAGACAGCTTGCCTACAAAGTGAGGCCAGGACAGCCAGGGCTACACAGAGAAACCTTATCTTGTAAAACCAATATGTGTATGTATGTATGCATATATATATGTATGTATGTATGTATGTATATATAATTAGCATATAATTATGTCACTTCCCCCATTAGCATGTCTCCTCCCTCCAACCTACTCCATGCCCCCTCAATTTCTGTCAGATGATGGCATTTTCTTTACTACTGTTGCACACACAGACATACATATATAATGCAAAAATATGACAATATAAAATGTAATATATTATCTAGCAGAGTAGTTTTGTTGCTTTTGCATATATGATTTCAAGGCTGACTGTTTCGAAACCGATAAGTACTTTAAATGGCATAGAGACAGCTTTCTAGGATGAGTGTTTCAGATAGCGTACAACAGGGCAGCTGTTTGATACAGAGACAAGGAACAGTGACATGGCTGAAGCAAGAAAACCATGCTTAGGAGAAAAGCATTTTTAGAGACAAAACAAGAATAATTAACAAAATAAGTAACCCTCTGTGGGGAGGTACTTTGAAAAAGAATTCCAGATCAAAGGATGGATACTTCATCTTTTTCTATAGTCCAGTTTCCCTTCTGAGTAATAGATTCACATCCCCAATGGCCTTCTAACTATAACAAATATTTCTCTCAGGCCTTTCAAACTCAGTGTTAAAATCTGTATTCTACTTCATTTTCCTGCCTCCCTGCTCTCTTACCTAAAGATCTCAAAGATTCCCTGCTGCTCAAACATCTACCAGAATACCCAGAGCAGAACAGTGGTAATGAATGGCCTATTCCCTCACCCTTTTCTAAATCTAGTCAACCTCTTATCCACTGACATTCTCCACATCTTTCATTATCTGAAAAACAATCAAGTTTTTTTAATTTATTTTTATTTAATTTTGTTAATATTAGTTACAGTTTATTAACTTTGTATCGCAGCTGTAGTCCCCCTCATTCCCTCCCAATCCCACCCTCCCTCCCTCATCTTCTCCCTGCCCCTTTCCAAATCCACTGATATGGGTGGACCTCCTCCCCTTTCATCTGACCCTAGTCTATCAGGTCTCATCAGGACTGGCTGCAAAGTCCTCCTTTGTGGCCTAGCAGGGCTGCTGCTCCTTCGGGGGTAGGGGGAGGTCAAAAAGCCCACCATTGAGTTCATGTCAGAAATAGTCCCTGTTCCCCTTACTAGGGTACCCACTTGGATACAAAGCTACCATGGGCTACATTGGAGCAGGGGTTCTAGGTTATATTCATACATGGTCCTTGGTTGGAGAAACAGTCTCAGAAAAAACCCCTGTGCTCAGATATATTTGGCCCTTGTGGAGCTCCTGTCCTCTCCAGGTCATACTAACTTTCCCTTCTTTCATATGATTCCCTGCACCCTGCTGAAGGTTTGGTTATGAGTCTTAATATTTGCTTTGAAAGACTGCGAGGTAGAGACTTTCAGAGGCCCTCTGTGGTAGGCTCAGTCCTGTTACTTGTTTTCTCCTACATCCAATGTCCATCCCATTTGTCTTTCTAAGTGAGGATTGATCATCTTACCCCGTGTCTTTTTTCTTGTTTATCTTCTTTAGGTGTATAGATTTCAGTATGTTTATCATATCTTATAGGTTTATATAAGTGAGTATATACCATGTGTATCTTTCTCCTTCTGTGATACCTCACTCAGAATGATCTTTTCTAGGTCCCACCATTTGCCTGCAAACCAAAATACCAACACAATTCTTTACAGATTTTGAAAGAAAAATTCTCAGCTTCATATGGATAAACAAAAAACCCAAAATTTCCAAAACGATCCTATACAACAGATCATCTGGAGGTATCTCCATCCCTGACCTCAAGTTGTACTACAGAGCAATAGTAATAAAAAACACATGACATTGGCATAGAAACAGAAAGGAGGATCAATGGAGCCGTATAGAAGACCCAGAAATAAACCCACACACCTATGAATACTTAATTTTTGACAAAAGACGCCAAAACCATTCAATGGAAAAAAGACAGCATCTTCAACAAATGGTGCTGGTCCGACTGGATGTCTACATGCAATCAAGTTTTTTTAATATAAAAGTTTATTTTAAATATATTTTAATTAACACAATTACAATTATACAATTATATCACTTCCCCCATTATTATGTCCCCCCATCCCATTCAATGTTCCCTCACTTCTTCTCCAATTGATAGTATCTTCATTATTATTATTATTATTATTATTATTATTATTATTATTAACAATAGACATCTCTACTGACTTGGAGTACCAAGCCTCACACTGCTGTCACCAGGCACCAGGCTGCTGACAACACCTGCTAAACTATCTTCCTTTCTTTTGTCACCCGCTGCACCAATGTATTATTCGGAATAGACCATTTTCTAATCTAAAAACTCTTGTCATTGATCTACCCAATGCAGCGAATTACATATAAGTGCATGTTAACCTTGAGTCATAATACATTTTTCAACATGACTTTTAAGAATGCTCTTAATATGCCTCTTATCTTCAGCTTTCTCCAATCCCACTGCCCTCATAATACTCTACCTAACCCATAAATGTTCCATCTCATCCAAGGCCATTGGTACAGTCTTTCCTCATGCTTCTATGACTCCACGGCCATCAGACAAAATAGGACTCTCTATATTTCCATATGTTGTCACTTCCCAACCTCTCCACCAGACATCAAAATTTGGTTTAAGTAACTGACCTTGTTAAGTATTCACAGTACCTAAGACTTTTTATAGTCATCTGTACTTCTAACTAGGATGAGTGCCCTAGGAACTCATATACCAGGAAATTAAACTCAGTATTTAGTGACTATCATCACATTTAAAAACTGAACTAATGTAATTTTATTTCAGTTAAAAACCATAAACAAAATAGGTTA